TGCTGTTCCTGGTCAGCCAGAGCTGGAAACTGGTCCCCTTGATGAAGGTGGACAGGTTGAAGAGGGAAATGGTGGTCTTGATGACTACTTGCTGTCACGAGACAGAGTAAGGAGGAATATTAGACCTCCAAGTAGGTTTGCACATGCTGATGTGGTAGCATATGCCTTACAAGTTGGGGATGTGCTTGAGTTGGATGAACATGCTACTTTTAAAGAGGCTATGAGGCTGGAATCCAAGGGTAGTTGGGTAAAAGCCATGGATGAGGAAATGGACTCTTTAAAGAAAAATAATACCTGGGTTTTGGTGGAGAGACCAAAGAAAAAGAGAGTAATTGGCTGTAAATGGATTTTTAAAAGAAAACCAGAAATACCAGGAGTGGAACCAGCTAGGTTCAAGGCTCGGGTAGTGGCTAAAGGCTACTCCCAGGTTGAAGGTATTGACTACAATGAGATTTTCTCACCTGTGGTCAAGCATGTATCAATAAGATTGATATTGTCTGCTGTTGCTATCTATGATTTAGAACTGGAGCAGCTTGATGTCAAGACTGCCTTCCTCCATGGCAATATTGATGAGCAAATCTATATGGAACAGCCTGAGGGCTTTGTAAAGTGGGGGACAGAAAACATGGTGTGCCTACTGAAGAGATCCTTATATGGTCTCAAACAGGCACCCAGACAATGGTATAAACGTTTTGATGATTTTGTTTTATCAAAAGGTTTTGTTAGAAGTAATTTTGATCACTGTGTCTATTTTAAAAATTTACATGATGACTGTTACATTTATCTGTTGATATATGTGGATGATATGTTGATTGCTTCTAGAAGTTTAAGTGAAATAAATTCTGTTAAGAATATGCTGAAAAATGAATTTGAAATGAAATTTCTTGGACCAGCCAAGAGGATTCTTGGCATGGAAATTATAAGGACAAGGGAAGATAGACATCTATCTCTATCCCAGTCTGAGTATGTGAAAAAGGTTCTAAGAATCTTTGAGATGCATCAGTCCAAGCCTGTTAGCACTCCATTAGGTGCTCATTTTAGGCTGAAAGCTGTTTCAGGAGAATTATCTCCTGAAGAGTCACAGTATATGTCATTTGTTCCCTATTCTAATGTTGTTGGCTGTTTAATGTATACTATGATTGGCACAAGGCCAGATATAGCATATGGTGTTAGCATAATAAGCAGGTTTATGAGTAAACCTTGCAAAGAGCACTGGAGTGCAGTTAAATGGTTACTTAGATACTTAAATGGATCGATTAATTGCTGTTTAAATTTTTCTGCACTTGATTCTAATGATTTTAATATTGTTGGATATTGTGACTCTGATTATGCTGCTGATCTTGATAAACGTAGATCACTAACTGGTTTTGTGTTTACTGTGGGAGGTAATGTGGTGAGCTGGAAATGCAATCTCCAGCACATAGTTGCATTGTCAACAACAGAAGCTGAATATGTGGCATTGACTGAAGCAGTCAAGGAAGCCATATGGTTAAAAGGTATAGTGTGTGAGTTGGGTTTAGGTAAGAACCCACCAAAGGTAAATTGTGACTCACAAAGTGCTATCCATCTTTCTAAAAATTCTGCATTTCATGAAAGAACAAAACATATAGATGTTAGGCTTCATTTTATTAGGGAAATAATAGCTAGTGAACAAGTATCTGTTGAAAAGATTTCTGGCATTATTAACCCTGCTGATGTTTTTACGAAACCTGTACCTGTTAGCAAATTTAGAGATGCTCTAGGTTTGCTAAAAATTGAATCACCATGATCATGCATTGCATATGGGCCTATGGGTTAAATGCCTACATCAAATCTGGTTTGCTTCTTTTATTCTGTTGCATGTTTAGAAAATAGGTGGAGTTTTGTAGTATATAGTTATATATATATATATATATATATATATATATATATATATATATATATATATATATATATATATCCTAAACAAAATATATGTGTAAAAAATCTTGCTTCACTTTACTATGACTCTGGTGGGCTGATTCTTTTTGTGTTGAGATTATTAAATGTCTGTGGGCCAAGTGTTAACTTTAGGCCCATTGTGATTTCCCCTATTCAGCTGAAGTTGGGTCTTTGTGCAATAAGCAACACACCTCAAAACGTCAGCGTTTTAAGGTGTGATGGCTTAATGGTATATGAGCTCCTCTTCGTGCTGTGCGTTGGTAAAAAAATCTTCATTTGGGTATTCTGATATAATCTCCTGAGAGAATAGGCTCTGCTAGGGTTTTGCGGTTTTGAGTGTTCTTGTACAAACACTGAGTGAAACACTGTGATTTTGGCTATGATGCTTTGATGAATCTTGTTCATCTCAACAAGACGGTTCCTTTGATCGGTGAGATCTTCTGATTGGTATTCAAATGCTGGAGAAGATAATCTGCAAGGTGGTCCTGTGAAGCTCGTGTGTTCGGCTTGGAGGTCCAGAGATAGGAACTACGTTTCCTATGCTAGCTTGTGATGATTGGGAAGTCTTCTTCATCTTTATAATATCAGTTGTTTACCGTTCTTAATCTTGAGTGTTTATTCAAGATCTGTTTGTCTTGTTGTTATTTGTTGAGAAATTAGGTTCCTCATTTGCTAGTTTCTGTATAGCTTGTTTCTGTATACTGTGAACTCTTGTTTTTCTTTCTGATCTTGAATAAACTGCATATCAGAGGGCGTTTAACCCTCTTTAGGCCCCAGGACGTAGGAAACTCACTAACCCTGAGTTTCTGAACCTGTAAAATACTGGTGTCTCGTCGCTTTATGCTTTCTTTATTCTTTCTTGTTATGTTTCTTGCGTTACTGTTTGTGAAACGGATTTCCCAAATTACAACAAACTACAATCGCATACACTATTTAATTATCTATCGCAAATATCCTTTGAAAATAAATTGATATATGTGAATTAGGAAAACAGCTATTCATTTATCTTTTTATATTATGAATTTTTATTAAATCCCATCAATACTTATATATAATCCAATGATTTTTTATTTTTTATTTTAAAATTTATTTTATTTAACATAAGTACAAAAAAAAAAGAAATGTATAATATATAGGTATTAGGCAGATCACATGGACTAGTTCTTTTTATCAGCAACTCATGTAGTTTATTGATGATTGGGCTAACATTTTTGGTCGGTAAGAAAACGAAAATAATTGAAGCGAATCGTGTATGAAGAAAGGCCACACAAAAATCGCTGTCATTAGTCAAGGTGCTAACCTGCTAGGGCACTGTCTTCTACTCTTTCTTTCGTTTTTTCTTAACGTTTTGACGTTTGAGCTTAACCGCACATAAAATTAAGTTAGTAATGTTCCAACTACAAGGCAAAGAAAAGAAAGGATTCAATCTGGTTAGTGGTTATTATTTATTACGTAAGATCCAATTAGACGTTGTGCAGAAAGTATATTTATTTACTTTTAAATTTCCTTTGCCTTTTAAAACTAAAAGTATATATAAGTTTGTACTTTTTATTTTTAGAAGCAATGATTTTATATGTCAAAACAAGTGCTCTTTAAGTTTGTTTGAGCTTAATTTTAGGGAGAATCTTTATTTTGTTTTTTAAAAATAATGATTACTTTTTTTAACCATAAAAATTATTTTTTAAAATAAATTAATTCACATACGCTCTTAATATACTTAAATATGCATTATATGTACATACGAATTCGTTTGATTTGATATTAATCTCATACGCAAACATAACGTGGAAACCTTTTTTTATTGGTTTGGTGCTTTTAGAGGTTGGTTAACAAACTTAAGGGTTACTTGTAAAATTCACAAATGCATTTATTCTTCGTGGGTGCTTCGGAAACTTGATAAGCAAGCACTATTCTATGATTGAGTTCTTTTATTATTTTATAGAAGTGTCAAAGAATAAATTTTGGTGTTACTGTTGCACCAAAGATTCAGTACATTTCACCAATAAAAATATTACACGTCAGCTAAAGTTTTCTTTTTTCATGAATTTTTTTTTCTCTCCTATAATATGTAATGCTCTCATTAGTGGGATGCACTGAATCTTGATGCAACAGTAGTACCAAAATTTTATTTCTCAAAGTGATAAAAGCAACTATTTGAGGAAGGGGAAAAAATTACAAAATACAAAAAGTGATTTGGACCCATACCCTCTCAGTCTCTCACTAGGGTTATAGAACTTAAGGTTTTTATTTTTATTTTTTTGGTGAAATAGAACTTAAGGTTTTGTAAATAGTTGAAATGGCGATTTAAAAATCGTATATCCAACCTTATGAAATGGTATAAAAAAAAACACATACCCACAAATTTCTTAAATTCATACCCACCATCTAAAAATAACAAAAGCATATTTAAACAGTTTTTGCAAGTCATAAACCTACTATACTTATTTTGAACTTTTATTATATAAAATTTATCGGTTAGCATTTAAAAAAATGGTGTTGGATCAATACCACTTCATGCTATCTTTCATCATTTTATTTTTATTATTTCAAGAAAAAACCTACCTTATGTATCATAAGAAAAGCTCAAAAAAATATTTCACATGAAAGAAAAAGGAAAAATAAAATAGGAAAAAAGACAAAATAAATTATAAAATTAAAATTCATACACTCATATTTCACAGTTCTATCAATCCCAACTCTTTCTTTGTTTTGTTAAAAATGCTAATGACACACCCTAACGTATATATAAAATAAATATAAAAGATATTAGATCGCATTGCAAATGACATTAATATTTTACTAAGTACACTCCTATTGTTTATTGTGATCAACTTTTTCCTTTTTTTGTTCTATACACATCCACTATTGTTCTCAATTTAAGGTAAGCTAGAATCTGGTAGAAGATAATTTATTCTGGATAATGGATTTGAGTTCAGTCCTTATCCCTAGAATTATTGATACCAACTTCCATTTGATGCATTGAACATTATCTTATCTTCAATTTAGTCCAAACGGGCTTATTGGTCATTCTTTAACCAAAAAAAGAAGTCTGAACATTTTTTTGTAAATGTCATCATAAAACAAATCATATCCAAATAATGCTTACAATTTAAGATATACACTGAAATTAAATAGGAGGTATAATTTAAATATAAGACAGGAATTAGGATTTGTATATGGACTTTCTGTCCGAGCTAGACAGGCAATGCCAATCAAACTTAGGATCATAACAACAAAGGAAAACTTTTGTAAATATGCGAAGCTGCATGCAATGAAACAGCAGTGAATATATAAGGAACCATCCAGCTGCAGGACCTCCTTCCCAACTTATTGTTTTATGTCGGTCTTGGAGTTGGCATTACCATTCTGCTGTTGTGCCTGATGCTGATGCTGATGCTGATGTTGCTGAAGATGAATGTTTTGTTGGGATGCAGTAGGAGGCTGCTGCTGGTGCTGGAACATCATAGGGTTGACAGAATGTTGTGGAATCAAGCAGCCAGAAGGGTGTGACTCGCCATTCAGCTCAGCTGTAGCAAGCTTTAGTCTTTGAACCTCAGCAGTAAGCGCCTCATTTAGAGCTATCAGATGAGAATACAAGGAGCATAAAAATGTCATAAGTCAATTATCGTAGTGGTACAAGTGGCAAGTACTAATAATCTCGTATAACAATGTAGAAGATATGCAATTATGGTTTTTATTAATACTTCTCATTGAGAAGGAGCAAGCAACATAAAGGATATTAAATGAATAAAAAAGAAAAGCATGCCTAGAGAGAGAGAGAAGGGTGCAAGTGCGGATAAGGGCAAAATAGGTAGATGCTTGTCTCTAAAGTAAACAAGTAAGGGTATATCACTGTTGACTTAATTTAAAGAACATCTTGATCTTATCTCAATAAATTCAATGGTATATCCACCGTTTACTTAATTTAAAGAACATCTTGATCTTATCTCAGATTCTCAATAAATATAAGGATGAATACATCCTTATTTAATCAGTTTAGAGACAAACTCACTTTAAAGGAACTTTTTCACGATAATAGTCATCTGGACTACATCAAATAACCTACATTAAAATATGGTCATTGACTAAGCTAAAAAAACCCATCCTTAAAATTGTATAACACTTTCCAATAGAATTAATTACAGCTCACACAAGATATTTCTTAGGTCTCCCAAAGAAATTTGGACAAGAATAACCAAGGGGGGCAGTTAAACATCAGCAATGAATCCATTATACATCAGGAATAACTCTCCCCTCTTCATAATGGAAGCTTATTATATGACCCAAATCTGTTTATATATGTGCTGAAGTACACTGGTGTCGGTGATCTTATCTCTTTAATTCCTATAACACTTATTCAAATGCTAAACAAATGTCACCCCATTTTCATTCACTTTGAGAGCTCTTCAGCATGAAGTGTTTTGTACTCAGTTGGCCTACAATGAGTGCAGTTATCCTTGATTATTACGTTTGTTCCAAATGGTATTATTTTTCAATATTGATATGTTGTCTTTGCTGACAATGTCATCATGTATTCTGGTACTTTTTAACATCCATATGGGACAAAACATAAGACTATATCAATCAAATCCTTAGTTTGGTAGTTCTATTGAAAGAATAAGTGTTCTAAAATATTGTGTCAAAAAGGTAGATGTTATGAAATTGTGTCACTACGAATACGAAATCTAATTCAGCCCTAGCAACCCACCATCACAAAAGTGCAATTTGATAAAAACAAATGCCTAAATGCACTTACTTACAAAATTATCACCACTGACCACTCTGGTTATACTATAGATCTAACTATGCAACTACATCTGCCACACTTTACTATTACCAAAAAGTTTTCAATGACACATTTACAATATGCGGACATCGCAACACCGTTAGCATCATATTTATTGCATAAAGTTTCATTAACTTGAGCATATTCAATCAATGGATTTATCATAAACCAATTATCCCAAAAGCTTAAGCTATTATGAGAAAGCTCATGAATAATTTTTATATCTAAAATGACCTTTCACATGAGCGTCTTTTGGGCTTGAAACATAGACAACGTAAAAGCCATTTTTACCTTATTGTAGAATTCAACTTTTTATCTAGAAGAATGGAATTGGCAAGGATGAAATGGAACTCCTAACTTATTCCATGTCAAGGACCAACTCTCCAAAAAGCGTGAATTATTAGGTAAAGACACATGAATGATTTTTGTATCTAAAAAGCTCCTTACATATTTTATAAATATTTCCCTCAATAAGATCAGCATTCAACAGTAAAAAAATAGAGTTGGAAAAATGTGATTCATATAAAAGGTTCCGGTCTTCATACAAAATACTTAAGGGAACAAAATAAGATTGAGTAGCTGATATAAACGATCCCAAACTTGAATGAAAATAAAATCTAAACCCAACAACTTGAAGGAGTTATATGAACATCTTTTACACACTAATGTTCCCCACAGTAAAATTACGTATTACTTTTAGTTGTCTATACTTGTAATACCTTCATCATGACACAAAAAAGCAATCACACAGCTCATCAGCTCTTAGGTATAATAAAAGTCAGCTAAGGAAATTTTATCATCCTTAATTGCATGCTGCTTCCACTATATAGGTCAACTGCAGAATTGTACACCCTACTCTTAATCCCATATTCAGTTAGGTTAAGTAAAATCTTAGACGGAAGTATTCACTAAGCACATTGACATGCAACATAATATAAGCAACTATTAGCTCAAGCAAGGCTTTAAGTGAAAGATTACCTATCTATTCCTATCAGTTTACAGCAAGAAACAAAAACAAAATGGAGAGATAATTTGAAAGACTGTGAATTAAAGGACAGAAATACCATCTCGGAGTTTTGCCTGTTGTTCCATGGATTGAAGGCGAAACTTCAACTCACTATTCTGGTTAGTGAGTCCAACAGAATCTCTCTGGGTTCACAGAAGGAAAGGAATCAAATTAGAAAACAATGCAATGATTACGGTACTAAAACATAGGCATTTATAAACATATATATGTTCCCACCTGTAATAGAGTAAGCTGTGCAGATAGTGTGGTGGCTTCTGTCTGTAGAGTCTGAACCTTATGTTCTAGTTCTGAAATGTAACGCATCTTCCGTTCTTTGGAACGTGCAGCTGATTGCCGATTTGCCAAAATCCTGAAATAACTCAAAAACAAAGTCAACCACGGAACTAGAAATATTAACTGTACATGTTACTGATTAAGATGTTGAATGGTACAACACCTCTTAGCACGCTTTGGATCTGACAAAGCAATCTCAGCAAGCTTTTCATTGGCCATAATTTTCTTCAGTTCAGGTCCACTAAATTCACCATTTCCAAACTCCAAGCTGAAAGCAGCTGAATTTCCATCAATTGCATTGCCAGGTGAAATCATTCCAGGACCAGGACCAGGTGAAGGTGGTAGCTTAGGTGAGTCATCATTAAAGTTCAACTTCCCAACAAAACTATCCATTGAAAGACTCCTATAGTGCCTGCTGGTTGGTGCAATATCACCTCCCAAACTCCTCTTCAACCCTTCCCTCTTCTCAACCGAAGAAACCAATCCTTGCCTTTGCATACTATCCCCACTCTCGTTTACACTGCTTTCTGCTTCATTGTCACTGCTATCACCTCCATTAGTCTTTGTTCCACTAGCTCTACTGTCCAAATCATCACGATTTTCAGCACCGTTTTTGTCATCTGTCCCCGAAGAGTTCAATGCATCAATGTTATCCAAATTCATGTAAGCAGAGAAGAGATCATCCACAACTTCCCCCTCAGGGGATTTCTTCTCACCGGATCCCTCTGCATTATGGTCAACGCTCCTATCCCAAGTTGTTTCCTTTTTGACCAACTGTGCAGGTTTTGCCACACCCGGGTTTACTGAACCCCTGAGAGGAATAAGGGGTGGAGAAGATTGCAACACAGTAGAAAATCCAAATGGGATATCACTGTTAGAGCGCCTATGCGCTTTGCGAGGAGGTAAACTCTCTCCAACCCGAGAAGGGTTGTTGCCACCCCTAGTGAAAGGCGATGATGGCGGCAACAAAGAATGTGAACTCACATCACGATCTTCCATTGATACATCAGCAGAAACAGGGTCTGACATTGAAGTTGAAGATGAGTCCCGAAAAGGAGAAGGGCTCAAAGGGGGAAGAGAATCAAGTGAGAAAAAGGACGGTTGTGACAGTGATCGCGAATGTGTAGGTGTAGGTGAAACATTCTGTGAACTCATTTGGGGTCGGATCTGAGAATAAGGTGAAATGGGTGGGATCTGATGAGGGTGCGAAGGTGGTATTCCTACTCTTTTGTTACCATCTCCAACACCGAAACTCTGCTGAAAATGATGCTGATGTTGTTGATGCCTAGCGCGCATTTGTGAGGGATTAAATTGGGGTATGCTGAGTTGGTCCATGTTTATAGACTGTTTCAGAAACGAAGATGAAGAAGCTCCAAAAGATGAAGAGTGAAGCCTCTGCATCATGTCATTATTCACATCTTCATTATCACCCATTGTGCTTCAGCTGAGAGTATGAAGCTAAATTTCACACTACAACTTACAAACAATACTTAACTTTTCCACAAGTTTCAAGACCCAGAATTCAAATTCAATCAAGTTCACATAATCTGCAACGGCAAAAACACCATAGTTAGAAATGAGAAATCAAAGACCAGTAAAAGGAATGAATGGGAATAGACCTTCTTTTTTTATAGCAAATGGTTGAGCTGAACACCAGCGTTCATCTTCATTCTAAAAAGCAAAAAAGCAAATCAGGGAATGGTGAGAACATGAGCAACATGAATGACCCAATTCATTAATAGTAGCGTTGGCCTAGAAATCCAGCTCAAGATGTTAACTTTGTCTGACGGAAATGCCGAAGGAGCAGGCGCTTATCTCTCCAAGATTCACTCTCTCTCTCTCTCTCTAGAAGAAGAACAACAACAAAGGTCACACACACATAAACAGTGTCTCTCTCTTTCTTTCTCTTTCTGCTTTTTCTCTCTCTCCACATCCACGACGATGACTACTACACGGATTTCATGACTACTACGCGTGAATTTAATAAGAATTTCATTTGGGCTGAATTTGCATTTCGTTCGCATTTCAATTTCATTCCGACCTCATTTGTTTTGTAATAAGCCAGGTTTTTCCCAATGTCTCTCCGCTATTTATGTGCCCGAACAATAATGTTTTTGTTTTTTATATAATTATTTTGCCAAAATTGACATTTTACTTCACGCGCCTTGCTCGCCCACTGTATTATATATTCCTTTATTATTCTATTTCCTATGGGCAAATTCTCAATAAATTTTTTTTTAAGAAGGAAACTAAATCCTGTGCTTTTCTTTTATTATGCGCTTCAATTACAATTTAAAAAACAGATTTCATCTTTTTTCAATTCCCATATATGTCTTATAATTTCTCGAAATGAACCATAAAAGTTTTTAATTTGGCATGGGTAGGGGATAAAGATTTGTTCACATTTCCTTTCTATGATTCTATCTTATCTCACAAAAATACTCTTAAGTTTGTATGGATATTGAAAAAAGAAAGTTTCTATGTACGAAAAAATTGCCACCAGCGTAAATCATGGGTGTAGAACTTTCTCTACGCTATAACATGATTGACACAAAATTGCGATTATGAAGTTGAGATATAAAATAGACAATATGCTTTTTTATAAAATATATACTATTGCATTTGTACTAATATATATATATATATATATATATATATTTATATATATATATATATATATATTAGTGCATTACCCGTGCGATGCACAGAGAAAAAATAACAAAAATAATTTGTCAGTGATCGTCGTTGATTAATCTCTACAAGAAAGAACGTGTCACTATTTTCCTAAATAAATATATATAAATATTAGTGTATTACTCGTGCGATGCACTGGAAGAAAAAGAAATCAGTTTGTCTATTTCGTAAAAATTAGCGCAAATAGTAAAAATATATCGTTGCATTTTATGCAATTAAGATAATGAATGGTCTTTTGAATTATCACATTTTTAACTTCAACTACGAAGTATTTATTGAAATACTAACTCAAATATTTGTCAACTCTACATGTATAAAAAGTTAGAGTTAGGTACCTGATAGCAATGATGCACGGACACGGACACGGGACACGGAACACGACACGATACGACACGCCGACACGTTAATTCTAAAAAATGTCATATTTGGACACGTTGGGACACATTTTGATATTAAATAAAATTTTTAATATATATAATATAAGAGTCCATAATAAGTCATACAACCAATCAAATATTTAAATTTCATAACTAAATCATAAATATTTAAATTTCAATAACAAATAACAAATTCAGCTTCAAAAAAGAAAAAAAAAATGTAAATGTTAATTAATTTCAACTCTTAAGAACACGCAAGAGGATGACAATGGTCCAGTAAAGTCAGTCTAACTGAGGTTGGTGTTTTGTTTCTTCTTATCCATACCCAGCTTAAAGATTTACTTTGTTAAAGATTTAGTTTGACATGAATAATCAATAGAATAGATACCCAGCTTCCATATGTGTCGGTTTCTGAACCCATGACCCCAACCACCATGTACCACCGTGAAGCTTGCCAGATCTATACCCCAGTCATTGTTAATCTCTTCACACCACCACCTCCCCTGCGCAAACGTGTTTTCCCCTAAGCTAAACCTCCATCATAACCCAAATCTAGAGTGCAAACGCAACCACCGACAACGAAGAAGACAAAGGCTCCAGCGCGAGAGAGATCGGAGAATAAGGGTTCCAGAATTTCTTATTTTTATTAAATATTTTGTATTTTTTAATTGTAATTTTATTTTATTTTTACAAAAAAAAAATGCAAAATGTGTCCCAAAACGTGTCCACATACGTTGACCGCGTGTCGGATACGGTCAAATTCGCGTGTCCCCCTAGTCAACGTGTCCTAAAAAGTCAACCACGTGTCGGACGCGTGTCCAAACGTGTCCGTGTCCGACACGTGTCGGACACGCATTTTTTCACAAAAAGAGCGTGTCCGTGTTTCACAGCCTGATAGTGTTAGATAGACAGTAATGACCATCTTGACCGAGTCCATTCTGTCATTTCTAACTGTCAATATTTTATATCAACATGGTTTGTTAGACAGTAAATATAAGAGGAAAAAATCATGTTGGTGGGCTAACCCGCCCGTTTGAAAGGTGAGGTGGGCCGGCCTTCCGGACCGAGCCCATTTTGTCACCTCTAACTATCAGCATTTTATATCAACATGTAATAAATGAAGAGTTGTCTCTAAATTGACTTTTTTGAAGTGTGTGTATTTGTGACATATATATTAGTAGGGGTGTTAATCAACCGATCCAAACTGATTCAAACCGCGATGACCAAACCGAAAAACCGATAACCGAATAAATCAAAAATCGAAAAAAAATCACAAATTTTAATTGGATTGGATCGGTTTTTTGATGGGTTGATGAAAACTGATACAATCCAAACCGATCCAATATATTAATTCTCCTCTACCTACTTGGGTCTTTTCCTAATCATAGCCTAAAAATTTCTAAACTCATTAACCCATCAACTAAACCCAAGAAAAAATGTAGTCACATCTCATCAACAAAATTTTATCTTTGTAGAGCTTCATATCTCTTTGCCAAAATTTTATCTTTGTATTTCAATTTTTTTTTTTACAAAGCCAATATATACAAAAGATGTTAGTTGCACAATAACCATGAAATAAATTTTAGGATTTTCAAAAAATCGAAAACCGATCCAATCCAAACCAAAAAATTTGAATTGGATCGGATTTCAAAAAAATCCAAACCGAAGGGATTGGGTCGAATGATTTTTGCTTCCAAAACTGATCCAATCCAGACTGCGAACACCCCTGTATATTAGATGAAGAGTTGGCAAATATTTGAGTTATTACGTTTAATATTCTAACAAACACTTAGCCACACAAAGACAGATTTATTATACAGTAAATATAAGAAGAAGAAAAATCTGTTGGCGGGCAGGGTTGGTCAGCCCGGAACCAATTTGCTACCTCAAACTATAACATTTTATATCTAAAAATAATAAGTTATGGCTGATTTATATTTTTAAGTCACACATAATTTTAAAAAAATAAATATAATTATAATTGTAATTTTACATTGGTTTTAAGTATATATATTCAATTATTTGGTTTTATTTTCCAAAAAATTGGTTAGTATTGCTCCACAGTTATCATGACTAATTCTTTTGATTGTAAGTGTAATAACCAGTGTTTAAAAACCCGGCCCGGCCGAGGTCAGGGGTCACGGGTTCAACCGGGGGATCACAGGGTCACTATGCTGACCCGGTTTTATATATTAAAAATATATATATATATATATTCTATATGAAAATATTAAAAAACAAACCACCAATCATCAAAGATTCAAAATATACTTAATATAATTCACCAATTACAACTACAAGTCAATATTATACAACCTAATTAAAGTATCAAGATACCAAAGTACAAAACTTATATTCTAATGGGGTCACTACGCTGACCCAGTTCTGCCTCTTTTGAAAAAGTCTCTGACAGAAAAATTTAAAGAAGTAAGAATGAGTTTTTGTTTTCCATCGACGACTGTAAGAATTTCATTTGAATGAATAAAATTCTTACATTTTCTAGAAGATTCACGGCAGCAAAGTGAATATTGAAAACGTCTAGGAGAGAAGAGAACGATTAGGATTTAGGTTTGTAAGCATTTTTATTTTATTTTATTTTTAATAAAACAATGTTGTTTCATGGAATTTAAAAAAAAAAACATGCAGTGACCCCCTTTGACCCCTCTGACCCGGGAGTCACTGAAACCCGACCGGATTTTGGGGGTCGGAGGGGTCGATATGCATATAGGATCTAACTTGTGACCCCAACCCTTAGAGGGGAGGGGTCAGGGTTGACCCGGTCAACCCGAGGGTGGGGCGGGGTTTTAAAACACTGGTAATAACAACATCGATCAAAAGAGTAAATAAATAAAAATCCTTCCATTTGTTTGTCTCGTAAAAGTTAACACATATCGTAAAAGTATATCGCTGCATTTTAGCTTGTCTTGTTGTCATTCAGAAATTACGTAATTTGACTCGGCTTTTTTCAGTATTTATCAAAGATGGACTTTCATTTATCACAATCTCATTGTTCATTTTGTTTAAATGCTTGTTTATGAAATATTTATAACACTAAATCCAATTATCTTATACACACAAAGACGAGTTTGTTATACAATAAGGGGGCGTTTGGTACCAAGATTATATTTCAATTCCTGGGGAAGCATGCTATGGAAAATTATAATATCACGTTTGATAGCAAAAAAGGGACAAGTTTCTTGAATAAAAATTTTTCCCGATTTTTGCACTTGTGTGTAAAGTTTTGTACAACAATCATCCCAGAAAGTCTATGGATTAGATGGAATTAATTTTTGCCCTAGGAAGTAAAAAAAACAACAATTATCTGGACCAAATTAACCTTGCTTTTTTTGTACGATCTTCGTGAATCTGAGGAAGAAGATCTATGGTGTTCTTCACTGGTGGGTCTACAAGGTTAAACTTTGCAGGATTTGTAACTGGGTTGAAGTTACCAAAACCTGCACCGACTACAAAAAAGTGGAACCCATGAATATGCATAGGGTGGTCTTCTGTTATGCTGGTATCTTGGAAAACAATTTGCACATTTGAACCATACTTCAACTTAAAAAGCTTAGTTCCTCGTGAAGGTGTCCATAGCCCCCAAGGCACATTGCCAGTACATGAGGTAAATCTGTGGTGAAGATACCAGCGCAGTGGCGGAGCCACGTTGTAACTTGCAGTTGCTTTGGCACTGGCTTAATTAGCCACGTTCATTTAGCTACACTTGAACGTGGCAAATTCTGTTTTAATTTTTTTCGAAAATTAGCCACGTTTGGTCGTGGCCAAAGAACCGTAGCTATTT